AAGACAAAAATAGAATGATATTATCATTTCCAATTCCTTTTCGCTTTTGGAAACGCTTTCGGACGCGTGGGGATGAGAATGGGAAGTTTGTTTGTGGATAGGTCGACGGATGGATGATAGACCGAACAGCCAACGTGACAAAAAAAAAACGAAAACAAAAAAAAAATTCTCAGATTTAATTCCCGTTTTTGCTTCTGGAAATGATTTTGGACGCATGGGGATGAGAATGGAGAGTTTGAATTCGATGGGTGGATAAATAGATGTAAGGCCTGATAACTGATGTGAAAAAAGAAGAACGAAACCCAAAAAAAAATCATATCACAGAACTAATTTCCCTTTTCGCTTTCGGGAATGAGTTCGGACGCGTGGGGATGAGAATGAAAAGTTGAAAGAAGAACGAAAACGAAAAAAAATTTTTTTTCTCAGATTCAATTCCTATTTTCGATTTTGGAAATGATTTTGGACGAGTCGCGATGAGAATGGAGAATTTGTATATCGATGGGTCGACGGATGGACGACGGGCCGAACAACCGACGTGAAAAAAAAACGAAAACAGAAAAGAAAGAATTTTCTCAGTTTTAATTCCCCTTTTTGCGTTTGGAAATGACTTTGGGCGCGATGGGACGAAATGGGGAGTTTGTATATCGATGAGTCGACGGATGGATGACGGGCCGAACAACCGACGTGAAAAAAAAGAACGAAAACTGAAAAAACAGAATTTTCTCACATTTAATGTCCCTTTTCGATTTTGGAAATGATTTTGGACGAGTCGAGACGAAAATGCAGAGTTTTTATGTGGATGGGTCGACGGATGGATAATGGACCGAACAACCGACGTGAAAAAAAAACGAAAACCAAAAAAAAAATAATATTCTCACATTTAATTTCGCTTTTCGCTTTTGAAAATTATTCGGGGCACGTTGGGATGAGAGTGGGGAGTTTGTATCTTGATGGGTCAATGGACGGATGACAGGGCAAACAACCAACGTGAAAAAAATATAAAAACCAAAATAAAAATAATATTCTCAGAATTAATTTCCCTTTTCGCTTCTGGAAATGATTTGGGACGCGTGGGGTTGATAATGGAGAGTTTGTATGTCGATGGGTCAACGAATGGATGACAGGCCGAACAACCAACGTGAAAAAAAAGCACAAAAGCCCAAAAAAAAAACAATATTTTCAGATTCAATTCCCCTTGTCGCTTTTGCAAATGATTTTGGATGCGTTGCTGTGAAAGTGGGAAATTTGAATGTCGATGAGTGGATGGATGGATGACAGGCCGAACAACCGATGTGAAAAAAAGAACAAAAACCAAAAAATTGAATCCTCAGTTTTTTTTTCTTCTTCCATTCCCATAGAGCCGATTATGCTTTTTCTTGATCCCATCCCACCCCCCACCCCTTTACGGTGCCATGGGCCGACTTTTTCACCTCAACCACATCGCATTTTCCCCAGGAGTTGCACCCCATATGCAGGCTCTCCTGATGACCAAGGGAAACCATGGAAGACCTTGGACGACACGGACGTCCATTGACCGGGTACCATCGGAGAATGTTCCCTAAAATATTCAATCTCGATGATTCCCGTTGTCGAGACTTCCGTTCGACGATTTCCGAATGATTATAAATCTCAATTGCCCGAGAGATTTAACCACTTCGGCCACCGTCGTCGGTAAAATCCTCAGTTTTAATTCCCCTTTTCGCTTTTGGAAACGATTTTGGACGCGTTGGGATGTGAATGGGGAGTTGTGTGTCCACGAGCCAACGATGGATGGCTGACGGGCCGAACAACTGACGTGAAAAAAAGAGCAAAAACCGAAGAAAAATAATGTTCTCAGATTTAGCATAATATCAAATTCTAAAGAGAGCCGTTCGTTGTGATGCTTTTCCGTGTGGTAAGTGCTCAAAGTGCCCTTCGCCAGCAGCCACGCAGGCATACACTCTTCTGAGAACTTCCACCTTCACAAGCTGGAGCATTTTGTCAT